ACTAGTATTTTCCAACGATGTTTGCGTGTGTGTATTGTAATTTTTTGTTATTTAAAATATTCCAAAGTCTACCGAATGGACAACCTGTTTAAGCGTGCGCATAATTTCATCGAGAAACAGGGACGAAATATCGTTTGGAAATCTCAAGAAATCTCGTGATAGGATTCTCGAGCACAATCACTAATTGCACGAGAACTACGTTCGTTGCAGTATGTTGACAAGTGGAAGGAATGATCACTTAGCAACGAATGAAGTTGGAGGTAGAAGTAACAGGTAGCAGTAATCATAGGTAGTGGCTATACCGTGTAACTAGAGGTCCTTGATGGATTGGTTACCTCGATAATTTCCTGAATCTCGATACCTGAAACTAGCAAAATTTTTATTTTAGATAAAAGTTTCGAGCAACGGAGGAAAAATAAATATCTAAAAAATAGGGACTAAATATCTTTTAATGGAACACGAATAGAAACTGTTTACAATTTCAATTTTACAAATAATTCCACAGTCGATGTAAACACCGTTGTGTTATTTCTTTTAGTAAAAGTTTACTATAAGGACGAAACTGTTTCGTTGAATGAAAGTTTTGGCAACGAGAAGGTATTTGCACGGCATACTAAGCCTTCAAAATGCAACGCGACACGAAGACGCGTGTAATTTGTTCCGGACGCGAACATTGTTATTTATTGGCCGTTTTTCATGATGGATTTGGCAGTGGTAATCAAGGTCCGTCGAGGTCAGCTTGCAACACCATGTTGTCGTTGTCCGTCGCCGATTGACCTATATTGCAAAATACAATTTGTCAACTATTGATCCGGCCTCTTCTGCGATCGTGTATTCTCTGGCAATGAGTCATCGGCCTCTTAAAGCGTCGTTTAAAATGCAGTTAGCCGCCTCGATTAAACGACGGACCGAAACTCTTAGAACAGCTTAGCGCTTCGGTGAAATAGAAAACGAACGAATAAAATATTACTTTGCGTTTGTTGGGAAAAAATTCAATAGACTTCACGATCGACGATTACGATTTAATAATAATAATAGAGATTTTGTTCGAACTGGCAACATAATTAATTGAGATTCGAGATCATTAATTGTAGGATAGGATTTAGGTATATGCTGAGGATAAGATAGAAAAGCTGGTGAGTAAAATAAATGAAAGACAATACATATATCACATAATTTAGTCTCGCTTTAATATATTAGATATTGTTCGGTATAATATATGACTCTCATACTATATGCTAATCGTAAAGGTAAACGACATACACGCTAAACATTTTCATTTTGACGTATCAATAATTTACACGATAACTGTACACTTGTAACGCTTTCTTGCCTCGCACCATTCACCCACAACGGCGACACACGCACACAGACATTTTTTTATCACACTTCTTACACCGTATCTCCCGTCCATGGAATCAATAAAATTGACAGGAGACGATTCGATAATTAAAAATGAAAAAGACTCTTGAAGGATTAAAAGGAACATACGCAAGATACGGACTATTATTACAAGTAACGATCACACGCGGACGAATGCCTGACTGCTTTTCCGTCTTCGCAAAGCCAAGTCTCCGCTTCAAGCATAGTCGATAAGTCGATGTATCGTTTAATCTCTTCGGTGCAGTAGCTATTTAGAAACGCGTGTAAAAGTATCGGTATGGTCCGTGCGTTGAACGCCCATGGGCGTTCCGCGCGTACGTCCAACAAACGCGACTATCAAGATTCCGCACGCGATGCGTGCCAATCGTTCGAACCTCGGCACCGAAAAGATCAACGAAATCGAGAAACGTTTTCGAAAGAAGCAAGTAATTTTTAAACGATATAAAACGATATCCACGATTCTTAATATTTTTACAAATTTTTATAATACTTAAATTCTTTACTCAAACCGATTGTTAATTATAACTATCGTACAATCACTTATACAAATTATCGACAAACCGCAAAACTACGACATTTAAAAGAATGATATGTTTATCATTTGTTTTCTTGACAATTTTAAGCAACATTCAGCGTGATTGTAAAAGGAACAATTTCTCTTCCCGAACCTTTACTGAATCTTGTTTTCCGTATTCCGAAGAAACAGCCTTGTGCGAAGAGGAGAACGATCATCCGAATCCAAACGATATTACGAAACGTTCAGAGTAATAAAAAGCAAGATACACAACGTACATAGATATTCTCATTTGCTCCCGTTGTTTCTAACAACTAATTAGCACGTTACAACAGACAATTAAACTCATTGCCGTATCGAATAACAAAGATCACGATTAACCTTGATGTATAAACGTACACTTTGGTTTACGAATACATTATCTAATTACACGCATGATTCGATTCCTGTTTGTACGAGTTCGTACAATGGAGAGAACTTCCGGTGCAAAACGCGATTCCAAGACATAGCTAACTACCCTTAACTTACACATACGTAATTGTTCGGGAATTCTCTGACTCGTTGATTGAAGACCGGGCTATAGTGTCAAATAACAAAATTACTGTAGAAACTCAGCCATTTGGAATTAATTCTGTAATTAAACAGATACTGTTTGTTGAAAATAATGATCCTTCTCACAATTTTAAACAGCGCCATCTACTATGGGCTCGTTTCCGCTATAACTACAACTAGCGCGCACTTCCGCGCGTCTACTTCGCTTTTCCTATTGTTCCACAGACGCCACGTGTATTATCCCTGTATGTTATAATAAATTTAAGTTGTTTGTCTAAATACATAAAACCCAAGAGGCCACGAACCCAGTTCAAAATTGTGCTGAAGAAGTTGTACAGATAATTTTGCGACAGTGGTCAAAAGTGTTTATAAGAAATGGCTGAGAAACTGTTAACCAATTTACCCACCCTCGCAAAAGACAAATCAAAGATGGAAATTTTATACGATAGCGACATTAGGATCGAACGATCTTCTGGATATCGTGAATGGTATTAGACAGTTACCTTTTGAAGCTACTAAAATACGTGGAAAAGGTTCCACGCTAACGGGAGGTTAATAATTCCATCGAGAATAGACGAAGAGTATCATGGAGCCATTTGATCATGTATGAAACAACCTGAAGGTTACCAGGATGGCTGGAATAGAATCTGTAAACTACAAAAGATTATGACAAGATCATGTACTTACTACTCAGTAACTGAAGACATTGAAACAATATCCAAACTATATGTTGATGGTGGAATACTTTGCTCTACAAACAAAACTAATTGAATCAATATTTAGAGCAAGAGTTTGAGAATCAAATGGAAGATGCCCGCCTGTTTGTAGGACTTTGAATCAAGAGAGAGAGAAATAGAACTTCACGGTTCATCAAGAAGCTTAGATGAGAAGAATATTGGAAAGATATTATCGTGGCAGAATGTAGAGCAGTTTCAACCCCTGCAGATATAAACTGGAAACTTTGTAAGTCTTTATCAACATCGTACTGCATACCATATTACAGAAAAGCTATTAGGAGCTTATATTGTGTATAAAACAGAGGAACATTAGATGGAAGAAACATTTCTTGTTGAAACATTGTTCTTTAATTGACCGTTAACTTCTTTTGATTAAAATTCAGCAAAAGTAAAGAATTTATAGTCATTTGCATAGATAATAATTGTAGTTAAGAGGAAAACGATGAATTATCGCCACTAACAGAGAAAATACTCATGAATCGAAAAAGAGTATTTCTCTATTATTAGATTAAAAATAAATTCTAGTATACTATCATTTTACGTGTTTTCCAAACGTTGACTCTTACAAAAAGATTTGATAATAAAAATTTGAATAAGTATGCTCAAGACACGACCAGCCACGAGTCTTCAATTCGTAACGAGGAGCTTCTATGCTAGGAAGATCAGGTTCGCGATTCCCTTCGAATTTCACGTACTCTTTCGTCCCTTCTTCTTCGTCCTCTCTCGATATCAAAGTTTCTGCCATAGTAAGTATACGTACAATACGATCAGGTACAAGAGTAGCATCTCTGGGTTGATCTATTTTATTTCCAAAGAGAGGACGAAGCTTCCCGATCGTCTTAAACTAATCGTCTTCGGTCTCTTCGGGTCTCCTGTGCATTCAACGACGAACGTAAAATTCACAGGATAATCTCGTCGACCGCGATATTCTTCTTTAAGACGTTCGAATTGATCGAGTAATAATTTATTCGCGCTAAATGTGAACCGCGAGTCATGCGAGTACAGAACTCATGAACAATCGAGACTGACGAGCAACGTCCACCAAGTGCACTACTTCCCCTTTCGATTTTTATGAAATTGCAGGCTCGTAGAGTGGAAAAAGCTCTACGTATTCTTTGTAGATGTGGTAACTCGAGTCGAGGGGCGATACGACGATTATCTGGAAAATTATTGGATGTACAAGGCAGTCTTTCAAACAAATTCTTTATGGTTTTTGACGCGAATATTGTAGCATATGCACCAAGAAAGTACATTGATACGCATATAAGTCTGGCAATATTTATCGTTTTTGGGGTGTTATAGGGTGTTATAAATAAGACGAAAATCAAGGATGCTAATTTATTGATTGAGAGATTTTTAATTAGTGGGATCAATCACAATAATTTTTGGTGAATAGACATACCCCCGAAATCCTAACCATTTTCGAGAAAAAAATTCGAGCAGGTACTGAAATTTTTCGGCGAAAAAAAAATTTCAAATTATTCTAAAAAAATTATTTTTAACTAGTGGAGCCAATTACAATAATTTTTCGTGAATAGACATACCTCCGAAATCCTAACCATTTTCGAGAAAAAAATTTGAATACGTACTGACATTTTTCGGCGAAAAAAAAATTTCAAATCGATTTGGAAAAATTATTTTCGGTTGCGGACGTCAATTACAATAATTTTTGGTGAATAGACCTACCCCCGAAATCCTACCCTCTTTCCAGAAAAAAATTCAGTACGGGCGGAACTTTAAACGTTAATAACTTTTTAACGAAATCTCAATCAACAAATTGGCATTCTTGATTTTCGTCTTATTTTTACCTCCAGAATCTCCCATTAAAATTTTTCGCAGGTGTGGCCGAACACCCTTTATATTGGTAAAATTAAAATAGTAAATTATATTGTCTTTTCAAATATTTCAGTTGTATTAAGCTTTTGTAGCGATTATCCGCTCAAAAGCCATAAACAATTTCAATCGATAGGCGTGGAAAGACCTTTAATATCCAAAAATGAACGTGATCCTATGATCTCAGGGGGAATGAAGTAAATTGAATTCAATAAAGATACAAACATGAAACCTCGTTAAAGACTTACTGGACATGTTATGATACGGCAGTCGATTATTACTGCTATAAGAAAAAAACTTAAGAACATTTGTGTCAGATTTTCAGTCTTGTCGTTTTATAAGTTTAGCGTGTGAAATAAATTACACGAAAACGGAGGGTGCGCTTCGTGGACGTTACTCGCGACCCATCGGAATCTGAAACGTTCGTGAACGTATCTGAAGAACTCCTAACCGCAATTATAATCGCATCTCATTGGTACCGACAATGTTCCGTAGTGATTAATATAAATTAATAAATTAACTCGCAATGCTTGTAATACCTAGTATCGAGACGAAGTTGCAGAACGTTCCAGATTTCACGGAGCAGCGTTCTTCGTCCCGCGAACAGGTGAAACAACACCTATCCCAATATATTTTCTCTACTTGCTTGTATCGCGTTTTGTAATAATGACTATTGGTCCGCCTGCTCACTGGTCTCTTCGTTGTCGGATATCGACGGCATCCTGTCGTGATTCGTGCAATTGTCTGTCTTACACTTGAACTCCGCGATCTCCAACCAATGCTGTTTATTCTTTCTGACGCCATCGACCAACGGCTCCAATTTATCCGACAATAAAGCGAATGCCTGCGCAAAAAGAGAACGTACACGGAATTTAAAACGTACAATCGCTGTTCCTCTGCTCGAATTTTATTTACAAACAGAGTAGGATCAATGTAGATTTGGTTCTGAGAGAGATAAACGTTTTATCTGCATCGACGCTTCGACTCGAGATAAATATTTCGGAGTAAGAAAACTACGTTGAATATTCCTCGTGCTTGAACAGTATATTCAAAATTTATTCATAGCATTCAAATACTTATGAATCGATCGGATATTGAAATCATCGAATGATCTTAATTTAAACAAATACGATTTCAGTAACACTTTTCTATTGTCGATATCGTAGAAAGTTACCTCGTAAATGGGAAGGCAGATTGAATCGATGAAACCAACTTGCATCATAGGCAGTTGATCCTCTTTTTCTCGGTTCATAATGTCCTGCAATACCAAAGGAGTAGTGTTGTTATTTTCTGGTTCTAGACGATTGCATTTGTATGTACATATATACAACATTTAAACCGTATATTTCAAAGGAAAAGACAAAAGCAATATTAATACAAGAAATAATGTTAAGGTTGTAATAGTTGGTACGTTGCTGATAGAAACTCAATTCTTTTTTATCACATATTATTGGTACGACTACAAATGAGACTGAATTTTACAAATATTCGAATGCTACGAACAAACTTTGAATATCTCAACACTCGAATATAATTATTACTTTCATCAATTTACTTATTATCCAGCTATTGCTGTACACTATGATTATATATCCAGATTTCTGTAATACTTACAATGGGGGTAATATTAAGAGTCCGCCTTTCAATGTCCCCTTGTTCAAAGAATTCACTGCTGACTAATTCCGCCACTCTCTTTTCGACATCCCACGGTTTAGTTATAGCAGCTAAATCACAGACGGTCATTAACATTCCTCTCAACAGTTCTCGATGATCACTGTAAGCCCAATTGTAGCCACCGCCATGCGCCAAACTAAGGAAAGCCCCTCTTTTCCTAAAGTAAACCGCCAGGTCCGTAGAGAGGATCGCTTCTTCGAGAACTTTTACCACGCGTGAATATTCCTCCGGGGACAGGTTCGATAAAATTTGATTCCCTTGGCTACTTAAAATCATCAGACACTGATCGAAATGATGATGCTCCATCGTCGATGTCGAGTAAAGCTGTGCCAGCGGCGAGGATGCTCTGCAAGCATCAGATTCGTTTCTAATAAAAAATTTCTATTTTTCACGCACTCGTCGTGCTTTGATCTTTTCACTTCACGAATTCGTGACACAATTCGCTTTAAACATAACAAAATCAATACCACTTACGTGGATAACGCGTCGATGATAATGAGTTCAGAATTTTTAGGATTCAAGTTTAGATTATCGTCAAATATCAAATGTTTACTCACTTGATTTGGAAGGAGTTGTTTGTGCCTCGGTGATCCAGATCGTGACACAAGCAAGCGATGATTAATGCAAGACACTCGATCTCCCCAAAAATTTTCCACCACTGCGTGGCCTGAAACGTAACAATCTTGTTGCTTATTTTCGACACTTTTCTACAAGGGTATCCTCAAGATGAACGATAGAACTGATAACAGCGTGTTTTATAAATGCAAATAAGATAAAATTGTACGAAAACAATTAAATTAACAATTGGTTTGCTGTATTACTATATTATTTAATCCTCATTCTAGTTCTATTAACTATTTGAAATTTTGATTTGATCAACAAAGATGGACGTATCGTGCTTATTTAGCTCTAGTCATGAAATTAACTTTTATTGAAATTATTTTAATAAATTATCACAGCTCGATCGTTTGACTCGGGGGACACCTTAGACGCAATTTATTCGCTAAAAAATGTGCTCACGGTCAAAATCGCGAACATCATTTGCGCAACGTTGAAAGCGTGGCGCCAATTATGGTAGATGACGTTCCGATAATTTTTCTTCACGCTAAGAAGCCAACGGCACAACACATCGTAATCGATGTGGAACCGTTCGACGAAATCGAGATCCAAAAACATTCTGAGACACGCCGTCAGCGTCTCGACGTCCTCCATGTGAATGTCGTCGAATTTAAAATCGTGTAGCTGAAAATGCGCCGACGAAGGCACTCTTAAGCCCTGAAATCAGAATCAAGAAAAGACTCAAATAAAAAAGCAATTTGAAGAGTAGACTCAAATCGTCTGACTAAATATATTGTACATTTTGAATGTCTAAAGAACAAAGTATACGTATCAATGCATTATTTAATGAAATAAGATTAATAATAACGATCGTCTCGAAAGCGAAACCAACCCTCAGTCTTTGTGCGTCCTCCAACGAAGCGGAAGCGTGATAACTCAGCACTTCTAACGTGACGCTTTGTTTGGCCATCGCTATCACAGCCTTCTCGTACCTGTTGGCAAGAAGAAATGAAAACTCGCTCGAAACGACGAAACGTCACCGCCGTTTCGCGTCGTACACTCACATGTGCGTATTGTGAATGCCCATGCCGCAGAAAATAGCAAACGCCTCGACGAAATTCTCGTCGTTCTTCGTGAAGGCGAGGTCGTCGAACTTATTGATCAGTTGGATGACGCCGATGATCTGACCCGACGAGTTCTTGATGGGCATGCAGAGAATGGTGCGATGTTTGAAACCGGTACCATCATCCACCGAAGGGTCGAATCTTGGATCCTCGTAGGCGTTCGGTATGTTCACCGTCTACGAAAAATTCAGCACGGCGCGGTTCATCGTAATACCGTGACTAAACGTCGCGTTACGTTATATAATTCCATTAATAACGAAACTGGGAATATAGAAAAAAGAAAAAGAAAAAGAAACAAAACAAAAAAAAAGTTTGAAACTATTGTTAATCAATGTTGCTCACCTCACCAGTCGTAGCAACGTAACCGGTGATACCGACATTTATAGGGAATCTGCTCTCGAATGGACTGCGTGAACAAAACCGAATACACATGTAAGGTTTCCGAGGAAATCGAATTATTGATGGTAATTGAATGAAGAAAAACAAGAACGTAATTACAAACTTCATTCACCTAGTGCGAGAATCGGAATCCTCGCCAGCGAGGTCGTTCGCCTCGAAGTCAAAGACTCGTGAGAAACTGCCCTTCGACGCTTTGTGCACTAGGAGAACCTGAAGAGAATATTTCCTATTACATGCATCATCATCGCATGATACTGACCACGCGAGTTTGCATCGCCTGAGTCGTTTTGTTGCTACAATAATATATAGTGCCGAAGTTTTTAGAGGCTGGAAACCCCGGAAGAAAAACGACATACCTGTACTCGTAGACACTGTATCAGGGACTGAGTGTGCGTTAAAATCCTCAACACCATGTGTTCTATCGTGCTCTGTTCCTCGAAAATCATTCTAGCCAAATCCAGGAGAACCTGCAATAATGAATCGATGCATGTTCGGAGTCTTTTACCGATCGAACGTTGAGTAAATAACTTTAACTTTTTTCTCAACGTGCAAATCGATTACAAACTGGAATCGTACAGTTAAGAATCGGGAGTTAAAGAGTTCGAGAGTTGAAATGTTCTTTGGCGAATTAGAATAACCGAATTGCAGACCAACTTTTCGGCCAACTTCTTCGGTTCTCTTCGGGGGTATAAATTTAATGAATATGTAAATACACGGGACTTATTGTATTATTAGCTGAATAAGAAGTAACAAAGAACTTTAAAAGTTAGTATATATATGTATAAGAAACTTTGTTTTGATTCTCATTTGCATATTCATTAAACGTGTGCCATCGAAGAGGGTCGCCGGAGACCATCTGTTACCTTCAAAATAATTTCTTAAACTCTTCTTACAAAATGTATACAGCAGATTGGCAGTTGTGCTTTATTATATTCCTTTCAAATTTAAATGACTAAAGACTTGAATTTGATTAAAGAAGATACTATATGTCTACGATGCTGTTAACTTAAAAATCTTTCGCAAATATTCCGTGGTGGATGGATTTTTCTTTTTGTTACTTTAATTTTTTATACGTTTGAACGTGTTTCTACTTACCCAGCACGTTGAGATTGCGTAATAGCACTTATCACGATCTAACGTATGTTTGGAATTTCATTCGTCTACTAACCTGATTCCTTTTCACTTCTAATTGACTTTTCTCGTAAAGTTGCGCGTTCCTCAGGCCAATTCCGCAGAATTGCAAATATCCAGCGAAAACTTTCTCGTCTTGCGCCGTGAACTGACCTTCGCCGCCGAGTTTGTTGATCACTTGCGCAACCCCAATGACATCCCCATTGCAGTCTTTTATTGGCATGCACAAAAGGGCTCGAGTTCTGTATCCGGTTAACGCGTCGATTTCACGGTTGAACCTCGAATCCTGCAACCATAAAAACATTTTTTTAACAAACGTGGACTCTCGAATCGCTTTAAAACCGTCTTGAGACCAAAATGGCGCGCCTAAAACGTTAGATATAATATTGTTACTAAAATTTTATTTTAATTTACATTCCTCGTAAATCTTTCTTACGTTCGTTTATCATTTGAGATATTAAAAACTTGCAAGAGTCCCAACGATGACGTTATTTACAAAATAAGAATAAGAATTCTCATATAGGACATTTGAATTTACAATTCGTCGAAAATGTCGGGAAACAACGTCTATCGAAAACCTATTTAAAGTTTGTAATTGAAATTGGGCTGTCGATCAGCAATTAATCGTAAGTGAACTTCTTCGATACTCGGAAGTTCGAAATTTTAACGAAATAAGTTCGAGGCAAGTTCGAGTACACTTAAACTCATCTTTTGTTCGACTAACTAAAGAACAGAACTATCGAGGTTCCCGAGAACGATCGAGAACAAAATCCATTACTCGTAATAATTCAATTATTTGCTTCTTCTCCTATCAATTATTTTTAGCGTTCGACGTACTGCAACCTATTATTTATATATTGCGAACTGATCCCGAGCGTATCCATAAACTGTTGTTTAGCCAATAACTATTTGCGATTCGTGATATTTCGTTTAAATATAGAGGAGCCGATTTAGCAGACTCTGAACACGAATTGGCAATGTCGCCATAATTTACTGTACTATTTATACAACGATCTTAGCAACATTTAACAAGGAAATGTCAAAGCATGTTAATGCTTTCGAGCTAAAATTATTCGATCTGTACTAGACACTTATAAAGTGATGCTCGACGATACATTGATCAAATAGGACGCGGGGAAGAGAAACGATAAAGAACCGTTGTTCCAAACAATATCTCGAGCAAAAAACGAACCGTAGAAATGAAAATTAAAAAGACCAACGGATCCTTGCCTTGTAAGCATCCGGTATGTTGACAGGTTCCCCGCTCTCGGCGACGTATCCGACGATTCCCGTGCCCCAGGGAATTTTGATCTCGTCCTTTTTCTCCATCTCGATCAGCGTCGATCTCGAGCACACGTCGAATAGCTTCGAGACCAGGCATCTGCTTCTAGAATAATATCCCTTTTCGCGTCGCTCGGAGCGCCCGTTGCCCGTTTTACCCGGACTCAGGATGCTGCCGGGGTTGCCCGACGAAGAGTCGTGATTTTGCGAGGAGGGCATGCAACCGCCACCCCTCTCCCCTTGAACGAGAAACAGGGAACCACGATCGGCGTGTAGCAGGGTGCTTACGTTCTGCAAGATCTTGTGACACAAGGACCTCACGTCCAGCTCGTTACAGATATCCTTGACCTACGGTTAAACCGATTGATCAGGAACTACCCCTCTTACGGTCACAACTTTTCACACAATCACATCTACGTCCCACAAACGGGACTTAAATAGGAGATAGTAAATATTTCGTGTGCAATTTATATAGTATCCCAAAAGAAAAATTGCAAAAAAATATTTTCTCTGTCAAGATCACCTCAATTAAATTTTAGATAGGAGCTGATATTTCGTATGCAATTTGCATAGTATTCCAAAAGAAAATATTTTCTTTGTCAAGATCACCTCAATTAAATAGGAATTAAATTAAATTTTAGATAGGAGCTGATATTTCGTATGCAATTTGCATAGTAATCCAACAGAAAATCTAAGATCCCAAAAGGGATCTTAATTTGAAAAATTGAATGTTGCATTGAGCAATCAAATATTTCGTCAGATAGTGTAACCATTAGAGAAAAATCATACGATCATGTACAACTCGATTATCGTGATTAATGGTAAGTCTGATCGAGAGATCGTACCAATTCGAAGATAAGATCCGTTTCATCGAGATGCCTCAGTTCGTGTCTCGATCGCCTTTGGGGTCTGCCAGAGTTTCCGGAACCGACTGGTTGGCTTCCTGGCTGGCCCGAATCGCCCGGCGAGACGCTCAGGAACGTCGGCGTCCCGTCGATCGTGTTGACGATCGGTTTCAACAGACCGCCGCGCTCGAACTCGTGGGCAGAAATTTTGCGAACGGGCGTCGTGGCGCCGGAACCGCCGGAACCGCCCCGACCGGAAGAGGATCCGCCACCCGCGTGGATCGGGCTCGACAGCTCCACGCAGCTGCTCGACGAGGACGTCGGCGTCGCGTGCGACACTAGCCACATGTCGACGGTCTGTCTCGTCACTTTCCTGTCGATGGAAAATCATACGACTGTCAATTCGTCCCTGCGCTCGTCCTCGTAGAAAATTAGTACTGAAACGTCCTCGAAGTTAGCTTGGTTTAAATTTTCCCGCGTAAAACCCTATATTGCTCAGACACGTTCAGAAATGTAAATTTATTGTTGGGAAATTTTAAATTTTATATAGTTGTGGACGAATATAATATACAAATTGCGTGTAGACCATTTGGCATATAGGTCATATCATCGTTAACCGAATATTACTTTCTTCTACGTAGTAAAGTAAAGCAACTATTTTTTATTGAATGAAGGAAGAGTACGATATAAACAAAATGGCAAATTTGATATGCAATATTCACCGCAGAAACAACGAATAATAAAAGTCGGTAGTGAGATTCGATCGAACGCGCCGAATGGGATGAAAGTTGATTGGTTTTAATCGCCCGATACGGAATACTAGAGAATTGGATGTAATTGCGACCGTTCTTGGAACACGCGCGTAGAATCGACTGTAGTATTAATTAATTGACGCAGCTATATCGCAAAGCATTGTTATTTCATAACGATTCACGGAATTCATCGCACGTAGATAGGTTAGTTCCGCTTGTAAATTCGATATGCGCAGCTGTCGAGCGCCCTAATGCAACGTATTGGATCGAGGGGCCTGGAGATCGTGCTTGCAAGAAAGAAAAAATCGTTAGAAGGAACAAAACGTTCTTAAAATTTTGTTTGGAGAAAATGTTACGATTCACGTCGGGTGACCTTACGAGCTTATCGCTGCACGGTGCTTACCAAACGGTTTTTAGGATTATTTTATCGGGCTGGTCGAGTAATATACATAATTTCGCGTAACAAAAGTCGCGGTATTAGTCGTGATAACAACCTGAGAAAGTAATCGTTGACGAAATCAGGATGTTCGTCGAGCCAGGCTTCCATGCGGGCGTATTCCGGATTGTACATGGCGGAAGTCGAGGAATAGTAACCGCCGGAGGACTTTCCATCTTGCACCTGTTGCAACGTGCCCTGTCCTGCCATTACGTTCTGCACCCCTTGCACCCCCTGTACACAAGGAGCTGCCGTCTCCGCCGTCATCCTCGGCTCCTCGATGCTCCGCAAGTGCAGACCTACTTGACGGACAAACGACTCGTTATTAAACAGAATTATACGTCTCGATTCGCCGATTACAAATCAAAATCTCGAATTTTTTAACTTCGTGAATCCTCGTCCACGTTAAATATTTATGTACGCACAGTAGTTCACGAAATTTTGTTACTATTACCGTTGAACACAAGATTCGAGTTCGATGTGAATAATGTTTTATTTTAAGGCGATGTTGTTTCCTTGGAATTATTCAATTCGGACTTTGCACCTTCGATAGCCAAAAAAATTCAGAAAATTGAATTTACAAAATAGAGAACGAAATAAATCAGTTCGTAATTTGGTAATAAATACTTAATATTCTTGGTACAAGAAATAATATTATCGGGCCTTTTCATCCTAGATTTGATAGTCAGCTTTTTCGCTAGGGCTGATCTAGCAGATCCTGCCTTAAAAGCGACGCTCTTAATCGTTTGAACAGTCCGACCAAACTAATTATGTACTAATGTAATAAACTGCCGAGTAATTGAAGCCTGTTTCAACGATTAGAGCGGGTCATAATAAGAACCGTTCGTCGTGCTTAAATGCGCATTAGTTTATACACGACAAGAAACTTCGCGATGAAAATAGCTAATTATACCGAGAACGAGAACCTTAAAAACCGATTATAAAAAGTTCCATTTCTAATGTTTCGTAATAGACGGAGCTTCTCTCTTTTTCATTTTCTTCTGAAACCTTCGCGAGGAAAATGCTGAGAGCACCAATATCGGGAAAGTTCGCGAGCAAGTCGTGCATCGTCAGGCTCCTTTGAAAGGAAAGAAGTTTGGTAATCGTATATTAGTCATCAAAGAATTTCATAATGTTCCGCGGGGAGGAAAGAAGAAAGTGGAAGACAAAACGCTCCGGCGCACATACGTTTAAGTAGTTACACGTCTCGTGACTCTCGAAGTTTGCCCAGTCAGCGAGACACGTAAGTACAGATACCGTTACTCGCGAAATTCTTAACAAATAAAAGACGCGTTCTAAACTCGAGCTTTCGAAATAATATTCTAACCGAAGGATGGGAAAAATTAGAGGAAAATTCAATTTTCATGGGGTTATTTTACAATGAATTATTTCTATATTATTGTACGTTAATATTCAGTTCCACCGCGCTTAGCATTAATTATATTCAGTCGACTTTTGATGCTCTGTGCCTATGTTTACATTACATTATTCTCTATAGAACTGAATATTTGTATTATTTTATTTTTTAATATGTAAGTTTTCCTAAATTCACCAGCTCTCAAACCTTAATTTCTTCGATTTCAAAGCGTGTATTTTATTTATTAACAGTTCGGTAGTCGAGCGTTTCGATACTTTCGCGAGCAACTGTACGCGCAGCTACGAGGTAGCTTCGCAAGGAAAGATAGGCCTGAAACTTTTAAGCGTTCTTTTCGTCGTTCTTTGACAAATACCCAAGCGTGTCGTTGTACGCAGTTAGTCAGAGGCCTCGCTAAAGAGTCGTACCAACATCGGAAAACGCAACGTGTATGGAGGGATTTCACGGTTCGATAACAGGAGAGCAATGTCTGTGACTCAATCTGTTTCCACGATCAATTAGTTCGATCACGGGCGATTGTTTCTTCTTGTAATATACCGTGTGTTCCGTCGTGACTGGCGAAATCCGAAATGGAACGATTTTAAGTTTAAAAGCAAATCGAAAATCTGGCGTAACGTTTTCTCATGCGAGACTCTAGTTTTGAGAAAGCAAACTTTGGGACTCGCACGAATTCCTTACGTAATGCTTATCTGGGATTGAAAGATTGCAAGTAAAGCACTCTCTCAAAACGTCCAAGAGTACTTTAGACAATCGATCGCATGACACTCGATAGCTACGTGACTTGAAGTCGCTTGGCGCCCACCCATGACGGTCATTGTTTATGTCAGGACCCGCCCTTAATTTTCTAATCCAGCTGTATGCTGTTTAAAAGTCAATTAGCTTCGAGTTATCAACCTTGGAAACATTCTTAAGGTTCACGTTGGCACATAGCGTCCCCACTATTTCCTTATTTATGATTCTCGATTTTCCTCAATTTATTTGTGTTTCGTGACTTGAAGTCATTTGGCGCCCACCCATGACGGTCATTGTTTATATCAGGACCCTCCTTAATTCTCTAATCCAGCTGTATGCTGTTTTAAAAGTCAATCAGCTTCGAGTTATCAACCTTCGAAACATTCTTAAGGTTCTAAAAATGTTTATCACGCAATTTAATGATGCGTTGTACGATATAACAGCGACGATGATTAAAGAAACAGACACTCTGGGCGAAATTTCAGCCTTGAACAGAGGATTTAACAGCGAAAGTTAATGATAATTTTCTTTGTTTTCTCGAATTCACGCACGGATCATTAGCATTATTGTGTTTACAATATGGCGTACGGGCGAGAGATGCAAATTACGTTGCCTTCGATGGTTTGCGTACGCAGTTAATGTATTCTATCGTTCCTGGACAATCGATCATTTATATAAACGATTATTTGCCATTCGACGCGCGTCCAGGAGTCGTTCGAAAAGGTCTTGCGTTGCAGACAGAAGTCTCGGAAGTTGGATCACCCGGGTGCCTCTCTCTCGACTGTAGAATGTTTACGATCGCTCGAAGGAACATCAACAGTGCTGATAACGATTCGCGATAACGATTGTAGATAATGATATGCGTTTTAGATAAAGGCGGCGGTATAGTATTATCGATAAAATTAATTTTTCTTCTTAAACAGCAAACATAATATGGTACGATTATGAGAGTAAACGCAATATTTACTGGGGAAGAAACGTTACTGCTGCGAGAAGATCTTGAAAAAATTGACTGTGAACGATATCTTCTCGCTCGTACATTCCATTTTCACTCAGTGATCGTTAGTTCGTACGAGAATAATTTCTTCGTTCGATGTACGTTACGTTTGTCAATCACGATTAATGATTCTTGTATGGTATTTATTATAGATTATGTTCGAAATGTATGGGTAACGATTTAAAAGTTTAAGTGTGCATATGAGTTAGATATTTTGGAAAACTCGAGTGATTAGTCCTGCCGGTTGATGACACAGTGATACTGCGCATCTGTCTTGCGCAGCTGTCAAACGCACGTGGGTTCCAGTTGCGCGTCGAGTAGCACGATTTGATGATTTGATTTGAATCTGTGTGGAGATCACTGTACAATTTAAAAACGGAGCATTATTTTAATAGTTTGTAAATGTACGGGGTATTTGACTACTTGCTAAAATATGAGAATCGAGAATGAAGAAATTGCATCGAAGACTTTTTTATTTTTCTATGTATAAACTGCTAATGAATAGCATTTATAAATCCTGTACTTTTAAGTATGAAATCTGAGTTCCGTAAATCTAGTGTCGAGGGTACCTTTGCTCGTTATATCCGTCCCTCTATAGAATTCAGAACTGCAGATTGCGGTACAAAATTTAATTGGTGAGGAGCGTTATATAACAGAAAATTCTTCGTTAACATCGCCGTGTGCAACGGACCAACATCTTCTCGAACACACAAATCTGGCGATCCCAGTGTAACCTCGTTTACTAGTTAAAATTGTTACGACAATGTTCAAACAGTAACGTGGAGAAGTCGTTCGAGGAATTTTAATTATTTTTAAATTAATTTTCACCGTGACACACTATTTCGAAGTGACACTATTACTTCGTCAAGTATTTCGTATGGAAAATGAACCGATCGAGTGATTTGTTTGCCGGATACAGAACTTGTGCATACATAGAGAATCTTTGTTGATAAAGTAATCAGTATTATTTACGTCCTAGAGGCGACAGTTTCGTTCAACGTTAACATCGGACTTGTCCAAATATTGAAATTTACACTTTTCACAATGCCTCAAATTTTTACTTTAGGCACAAATCAGTTAAATATTACACCTTGTCTTTGGTCGATTATCGACTGGCAAATTTATCTAATAATCGAGTGTGAATAAGTTTCCTTTCGTGGCAGACCCGACGAAATGTTTCTACTAAAATTTTGACAAATAGTATCACCCCTATTTACAATTCATATTCGCGATATAGAATAAACGCATAGTTGCTCTTCGTTTAATACGTTGATAAATCAACATATATGAAGGCACGTATTCATTTTATAATTTCGTTTTATGATCATGAAAAATCTGGTCAGTGTTCTGTGCAGCTAACAGAATTCGTGCGAAACCAGCGAACAACTTCGCGAAACTAAAGGGTATAGCCGAATAAGGGGGTTAAATGTGCCCTTGAACGAAATGTGACATACGATAGATCCATCGATAGAGCAACAAGAAAAAACGTTCTGTGCCAAATTTTAACCCTCTATCTTGTTTGGAAGGGTAGTTATTGAGAAAATTCGGATTAACGAATTTCTGCCTATTTCCCCTATTTAATCGAGTAGAAAAATTATGAAAAAAATCTGGTGCATTGCGACTATTGAGATACGTGTTTGAGAATTTTTTCCGATTTTTCGATTTCAAATCCTAGGTGTGAAAAATTAAAAACGCAAAAAAACGCAGAAAAATACCGATTTCGTATTGAAGCTTTCGAGACACTAGATTTATATAATTACTGTAAATGCATATTGTCATTGGTTATGTCCCTGAATTTTTTCAGATTTTTTGGCAGGGTGCGCCGTAGTAGCAAAAATGAAAAACCGATTTTTTCGGCGTTTTTCGCGTGAAAAAGCAACTTATACTTTGAATTTTTGTATTCCCTTTAATAGATAATTATATTCTGTGGTTTTAAACATTTCCATGTTGAGTAAAACAGTGTATACAAGAAGAAAAGCAAAAATAAGTCAAGAAAAAAAACGTGCTATGCGCGTTGTATTCAGAAGTATCAGCATTATTTCCAAGAGCTGCGATGGTGCAGTGAGTAAGATGCTTGGCTGCGAAACTGCTGCAAACTTTTTGACGCGCGTTCGCGCCCTGCTACGGTACATTTTTTTTTATTATATTAATTTTTTATTTTCAATTTCTAACTAAACGACAATGAAAAACTATTA